GTACTGCACTTTCTGGAAGTGTCTAGATCCATCTGGGATTTCTTTAACTGGATTGGAGACACTTCTTTTTAAAGCTCTTACTCCATTATCTGCTGGACCTACAAAGATGCTTTGTTTATAAATAATGGCCAGTTTGGGGTCTAAAAGACAGAAACAATGTTGACTGGAAAAAGGAATGACTGGAAGAATTCAGGGGTGGACATTATGAGTACATACTGAAGACTCTAGGCTTGAAGTGATTAGAAATCCTTTTGGCAAAAATCCAAGAAAACTAGAAAAACTTGGAAAGGAGGAAAAAGGTCTCCAGTAATGATTTATGTAAGAGTTCATGTAGAAATAATTGTTTAATGCATGTCAATCAAATTGCTAGGAAAGCGAGCTGTAGCAGGGAGTACATAAAGCACCCATTCATATAGAGGGTCTTGTAAAGTGTCCACAGTAACTTAGGAAGCTGGGAGTTAAGGGGATTCCCCAAGGCAGGTGCCAAAAGGACTACAGAGAAGTAGGAAGAACTCTAGGAAGATAGAATCATTAAGAAACCCAACAAAATACAGTATTTTAAGAAAACACAGTTGGTAAATTTTCTGGGATTTTTAAAAGAATCTAAGTAATGCCAGAGATGACCTCTTAAATTGGGTTTAGGATACATTTGTTTCAGCAGTGCAGTGGTTTTATACAGAGCATCTGTTTTAAAGTTCTTAGGCTTTTTGTGTGTTTCTGCAGAAAGATAGCATAAGCTTAGACCCTGAGATGAATGTCAGAAAATCATGGTGTTCTTCACATCTTGGTCACTGCACTGACCTGCTGTGTGACCTTTGGAGTGTTGCTTCACCTCAGTATTTCTTGGTCTGCCCTGAATATCTTTGTTTGCTACATCTGGTACAACTGTGCTGACTTTGTCTGCCCTAACTGTTCAAGATAATAAACTCCCTAAGATCCCAGGCATCTCTTGCTACATGTGTGAAGCTCTAATTTCTGTCAGTGCCTCTTTTTGCCCTTTTGTAAATAGCTGTAATATATGAAGTTTTAAAGGAATGATGGTAGTTTTGCTAGCACCTGTGTAAATCAGAAGAAATTCTGTTGAAACCAAAGAATATAGACAAAAAATTAGTATAAATGAGGTAGTACTTAAATGCAGAAGTAAATAGGACTTTAAATTATTATTATTGCCTATTTGACATAAATAGAATTTTAGAAACCAATATATTTTGACAGAAATATTCTGCCTGTCATCCCATGCTGATTATACATATTTCAACTCATTCTCTGCTATAAAGAAAACTATTATTTTTTTCTCTGTTATAGGTCACAAAACATGGTAATTGTGCTGAAAATTTAGCAACAGTACAATGAAAACTATGGAGTGTTTGCTGATACTTAACAACCAGCATCAGTCTGAAAACATATGGGTCTACAGTTCAAGTTTTGGACAGTCTTAAAGCTTAATGTACTGGGGAGATTAGATAATTGTAAAGCTGTAAAATTATATATGACCACGGTTCCCTCATATTAGTAGGTAGCTGCTGTATATTCTATAAATAAGTTGTCCAGGTGATGCAATAATTTCTACTTAAAGGTATTAAAAAGAATGTAATGAAAAAAAGCAGATTTTTAAGACAATATTTCAGACATAAAATATGATATCTACGCAGTTCTCAAGAGATGACTAGAAAACGAAAAGAGAAAAAAGCTGACCAATAGTACAAAGCCCCTTAATTTTTATTTACACAGGGAATTTTAAAACACGTAAGTGTACCATTAAGAATGTATTCTCTACTGAAAATTAACTACATTGTAATTGGCTGTAGTAAGTCCGTTGCTGTATCTTTGCATGTGTGGCTTGTTTTGAAGACAATCTAAAATTAAAAACTGTCCATGATTTAAGTAATTTGTCTTTGTATATGTAAAGAAATTTTTTTTTTTTTTTAAGAACATAGCACAATGTATTCCATTTCCATTTCTTATAATGTCAAATACAGGTTGAAATATTTTCAGTATTCTTCCCTATGGTTTTCTGCACCTGGAGATGGTTAAGCAAATGCAGTCAAAAGAGCATTCTCAATTTTGTACTCAGAAATATATGGTTATAAAGAAACCATTTGATTTTAATCATTTTGAATCCAGAACAAATGGTATTTTGCTCAATTTTGGAGAAGTGGTGAGCCAGCCAAGGAAGGCTTCCACCCCTAATGGCAAGTAGGAATAGCACAATTTATGCCAGCATATAGCATATATAGTTTTACAAATTCAAATCTTGCCCTTGATAGGGATCAGATTATCAAATTTTATACAATGCAGTTACTAATTCCTATCACTGTATCTTATAATTCTTACTACATTTTAACGGGGTTTTTGGGGTCGGCAGTGCTAAGTGCCAGGAAGCTCAAGTTTTGTATGCCAATACTAAAATATTAGTAAAATAATAAAATTTTTACTAAAATTTTAGACTAAAATAGTCTAAGGCCTTTTTTATACTGTGTTAGTTGAGGGGTTTTCAGAAAAAACACAATAGGTTTAGCTTTAGTAGTTGAAAAAGGAATACTGTGCAAATCTGTGTACACTTCTTCAGATAGGTGGTTTGGGATGTTACAGAATTCACCTTTTCTAGTTCACAGTCTGTCATCCATAGCTCAGAGCCATGAAGAAGGAAGGACTAGGCTAGGATATTGGACTTCAAACTGGAGATAACTTTTGCTGCTAGCATAGAAGAGAATGATAATATTTTAAATTACTTCAATGAATCTTTCAGATCTTGTCTGTTAGAATCTTAGTTAGGCTGATGTGTGCTCAGGTTTGCCTGCATCGATTGAAAAATCAGGAAATTGTGGAAAATCAGTTTGTAGATGCAACTGTGATATCACATTATTTTTTACATTCAGACTGCAATTTCTCTATATTTGGAGTCCTTACATGTTGTTGGGTGAGGCAGTTCTTCCAGGCCATGTGTGCTTCTGTCTTTCACTTATTTCTGTGTAGTTGTGAGCACTATTCTCAGTGCTGATCAACATAAGATTGTTTAATTTA